TAGAATAAGGAAAAATTACAAAAATACCATTTTTTATGTGCACATTTGCAAAAATGCTATTTAGAGATGTTCATTTGCAAAATGACACTAATTATAGATTTTTAAATATCTTAAAATTATAAACATTAAAAAATGTTTTGACTTCTAAACTCCTCTAAACTCTCGTAACTAAATTCTAATAAAACATAATTAACCCAAACATAAATAATATAAAATTTTTTTTTGAAAAAGTGTTAATTTTATAAAGATTTCAAAATTGTGACATTTTTGTAAAATAGACCTTGAAAAGTGACAATTTTTTAAAATTTCTCATAGAGTAATAGGTCAGGAGATTTTCGAAATGCGTAAATGCTTTAAGAATCTACGGAATGTTTGAGAATGTAATTTTTGGAAGATGATTCTTAAACGCTTTAGACACACGGATTAACCTTACGCTGGTGGGCCGCCTGCTCAGCCTCAGACAATCGGGTTTTGAAAGGCCAACTCGAGGGACATATTAGAACGGTAACGTAAACCCCTTCTATCACATAACCCTTGATCCTTAGTCCGCAGAAACATATATTAGAGATCGAACTTGTGCATATTTTAGCTATATATACCTAAGAACATTTGTGGAAAGAGCATTTAGAATCCGAATTCTAGTGGAAATCACCTCAGATATTGCTTGTTTCACATTGCCACAACCAGTGGAAATCTCTTTATAACATCTACTGTTCGCCGATACCTCAAAACAAAACAACTATGGTTGGTTGCAATCCCAAAGAAAGAAGAAATAAGGATGCAGTCAACCTTTTCACAGATATGGTAAAAGAAAAGCCCCAACTCATAGATCCGTGAAAAGTCATTTTCCATTTATTTCAGAAAACAAAATGACCAACCAAGAGAGACAAGCAGCTCCTTTGATTAACAAGAACTCACACAGATTCAGGTTCAGATTCAGATTCATCATCCAAAAGAAAAACAACACAAACAAGCAGAGCAAAAACTCTAGTCGACCTGTATGTGTCGCACATTCTTACGCTCTTCCTCTTTCATCTTAGGGATCACCACTTTCAACACCCCGTTCTTCATCTCCGCCTTTATCTCATCTGTCTTGTACACTTTCTCCGGTAACTCAATCCTGCTCGTGAACCTCCGTCCATCGCCGGAAACATCTTCTTCCCCCTCCTCCTCTGTTTTCCCTTCTCCTTTTATCACAAGTGTGTTCTGTTCCAGCGCCAGTTTCACGTCCTCCCTGCTCAGCCCTGGCATATCGATCCTCAGGTGCAACGCGTCGTCTTTCTCTTTCACGTCCCAACCACGCCTCACTCCCGAAGCTCCCATTCCACGCGTAGCTGACACCAGAGGGCTTTCGTTGAACTGGTCCATGAAATTCAGCACCTGGTTCAAGCTCCTCGTCGGAGCAAACGGATCGAACAAATCTGTTGAATCAACCAATTCATCTTCAGATACTCCGAAACAACAAGAAAAACAAAAAAACAAGCACGATTTATTATTGGAACAACCGAATTGAATGTAACCGTTGGATTTCAATTGCGGATATGTTCAGATCGGAGTCAATCTAAAGCAAATTCGGAAGGAAGAAGCAACAGATTTGGCGATTTTTTTGAAGAAATCGTGGATGAGAGAAAGGAGAAGACGATTGATTACCTGAGAAGAAATCGCCGCCGCGGCGAGAAACCTGTCGGTTTGAGCGATGGCTCCCCTCGACGCCGTCATCGCCGTCCTCATAGCTTCTAACGGCGTTGGTATTGAAGAGGCGAGAAGCAGCCACCGGACGAACGCCGCGAATGGATCGAGGAACGACGGTGGACGAGAGAAGTCTCCTGAGAGCTAGAGAAGATGAAGCCATTCTTGAGACAGAGAATAAGCCTATAGAGCAAGCGAGTGATTGATCAGAGATTTTAATTATTTTCAAGCCTTCGAGTGAGAAAAAATGGATAGAGAGAGAGAGGATCATATAGTACGGAGTAGAAGGTGCTGGAGACGGACAATGGTCGCGTCGCTCTAGAGAAAGCAACTTCTCGATGGTTCTAGAAGTGCGTGGCTACCAAGTAAAAAATAACATTTTTTTGTTTACAAAAAAAAATAGCAATGATATTTTCTATACTAGCCCATATAGTTTTTGGGCCCAGATTTGTGAATTATGGTTTTATCTTCGGTTTGTTTTTGTGTAAGATTGAAGATTTGTACCGGTAGAAAAACGAATTAAAGTCGGTTTAGATCGAATTTGGTTCAGATTCTCGAGAAGAAAAGAGATTCAGACGGATCGAGATCATCATCATCGACTGAGGGAAGAACAGAGTCGATCCGGGTGGATCTCCGATCAGGATGATGCTGGATCTGGGTCCGTTCTCTGATGAGAAATTCGATGCGAAACGGTGGGTTAACTCGTCGTGCCAAGCGCGCCACCCACAGGACTCGCTCGAGAAACACTTAGTGGATCTAGAAATGAAGCTGCAGATTGCCTCCGAAGAGATCGGAGCGTCTCTCGAAGAGCAGAGTGGAGGCGCTCTCCTCCGTGTTCCTCGGGCCACTCGCGACGTGTTGCGCCTCCGAGATGATGCGGTGTCTCTGCGTGGTTCAGTTGCTGGAATCCTCCAGAAGCTCAAAAAGGTACGCATTGAGCTGATTCTTTCGATTATGCACTTCTTTTGATTTCGGTTTGGAGACTGAATCTGAGCTTTTGATTGGATCTCTTCTAGCATCATGACTGAACAGTTTTATTTCAGATTAGACCACAAGTTATTATGCATGAATGTGCGATAGCGATGAACTTGTTATACTATTCAGATGATAAATTATGGGAAATGATCGCATTCAACCATAATTCTGTGCATTTTCAATAATTTGGTCCCCTTTCATTTCGATTGGGCAATCTAGTTGATTTCAGTAGAAAGTGTACTATTATGTTTCTTTCTCAGTAGATTTTGGTAATAAGTGTTCTTATCAAATTTGGTACTTGCAGGCAGAGGGTTCTTCAGCAGATTGTATAGCTGCCCTTGCTAGAGTCGACAATGTCAAACAGAGAATGGAGGCAGCCTACAAAACACTACAGGTCAGTATGCATTGTAATTTTGTAAGCCATCATGTGGACACTTGGGTAGATCTGCAATTGATTCTCTTCTTTTTGTTTTGGTAAATGGACAGGATGCTGCTGGGTTAACTCAGTTAAGCTCGACGGTTGAGGATGTTTTTGCTAGTGGCGATCTTCCTCGTGCTGCAGAAACTCTTGCCAGCATGAGAAATTGCTTGTCTGCTGTTGGAGAGGTAGTACTAATATCAGCTTGAGCACTGTAACGGCTATCTTTTATCGTCACCACTCAAGTCCAATTTTGATCAACAGGTTGCAGAATTTGCTAATGTTAGAAAGCAACTAGAAGTGTTGGAGGATAGGCTGGAGGCGATGGTGCAGCCACGTCTTACTGATGCATTAACATATCACAAGGTTGGAATCCATATATCTAGAATACCCAAATAATTCAGGTTGTTTTCGTTGTTGCTACTATTGGACTGAAAACCCTTTCCTCAAATTGGTAGGTTGATGTTGCCCAAGATTTGCGAGGAATTCTCATCCGGATTGGGAGATTCAAGTCTCTGGAGTTGCAATATTCAAAAGTCCGTCTTAAGCCAATAAAACAACTCTGGGAGGATTTTGACACAAAGCAAAGGGCCAAAAAGCTTGCTAGTGAGAGAAGTGAAAGCCAAAGGTTGTCTAGCGGTGATGAGTTTCAATTGACATCACCTCAGACATCCTTTGCCAGTTGGCTGCCAAGCTTTTATGACGAATTGCTACTCTATCTTGAGCAGGAGTGGAAATGGTAATTATGTACTTTTTCTTTTTAGTAACTATATATATTTACCAGGCCGTTTACAATGTGTCAGACCTTTATACTCAATCCTGTAATTGCTGCTTAAATATTAATCACTATAGTACGTTATCATTTTCATGATTGTTCAGGTGTATGGTTGCCTTCCCTGAAGACTACATGACTCTTGTCCCAAAGCTGTTGGTTGAGACCATGGGAGTACTGGGGGCTAGTTTTGTTTCTCGTCTTAACCTTGCAACAGGAGATGCTGTTCCTGAAACAAAAACACTTTCCAAAGGTTGGATATGATGGCAGTTGATTGTGATGATTAGTTTTTTCTTCTTAATCTTGTCCATTAACCCAGCTGAATTGAAGTTGCGTTTCTTACTTGGTGGTTTTACTCTACTATCCTCATGCTTTGCTAGATATTCTAAGAGGATCAATTTCTTGTGCCTACTTTTTTTGGTTGTTCTTGTTTGGTTTGTTATTTTTGTACATAATAGCTAATGTGATAACTCTGTCAATTTGCAAGAGAGGTTTGAAGAAAAGTCGAAATTGTGTATCATAAAACAATCTATTTGTAACCTTTTTTCATTTAATCATGTAGTCACTGCAAATTTGTCTTACATCTTTATTTTCTTTTATCGAGGAGGGTATTGACAATTATGATATGTTTCTTGAGTAGGTGTGATGGATCTATTATCTGGAGACTTGCCCAAGGGTATTAATATTCAGACTAAGCATCTTGAGGCCCTGATTGAACTGCACAACCTAACTGGGTCCTTTGCAAGAAATATTCAGCACCTATTTGCTGAATCTGAACTTAGGGTCTTAATAGATACGCTGAAGGCCGTGTACTCACCTTTTGAATCGTTTAAGCAAAAGTATGTTTTCATGTCTTTTATCCATTTGTAGCGTTTTTGGATTGTCTCATTTTCTTTATAAATTTTTTTGGGGGCATGGTTCTTCAAAGCTGTTTATGACATTAGAATTGATTGTGCTTTTAGGTATGGGAAGATGGAGCGTGCTATTTTGTCCTCTGAGATTGCAGTGGTGGATCTGAGGGGGGCTGTTACTCGTGGTATTGGGGCTCAAGGAATCGAACTCAGCGAAACAGTGCGTAGGATGGAAGAGTCTATTCCACAAGTGATTGTTCTCCTTGAAGCTGCGGTTGAGAGATGTATCGGCTTCACTGGAGGCTCAGAAGCAGACGAGCTGATACTTGCACTAGATGATATAATGTTACAGTATATCTCTATGCTTCAGGAAACACTCAAATCATTGAGAGTTGTGTTTGGAGTGGATGGTACAGGTGATGGAGTTGGCTCAAAGAAAGAGCCAGGCTCAGAGAAAAGGGAGAGCTCGCGCAAGATGGAGTTGAGTTCAAATGAAGAATGGTCCATTGTTCAGGGAGCACTACAAATACTTACTGTAACTGATTGTCTCACAAGCAGGTCTTCCGTCTTTGAAGCCTCTTTGAGAGCCACTCTAGCTAGACTAAACTCCAGCTTGTCTATTTCATTGTTTGGCACAAATTTGGATCAAAACCTATCACATTTGACAAGTGAACAAACGACTGGAGATTTGTCTATGGCTGGACGGGCTTCACTGGATGTGGCAGCTATTCGGTTGGTTGATGTTCCGGAGAAGGCTCACAAACTCTTAAACCTGTTGGAGCAGGTACTGAAAAGCGAAGACTTTGTTTACAAAGATTGTGAATTTATTATACAATGTTCATTTGTTTCATTCTATTTCCCTTGTTTTGTTGCAGTCTAAAGATCCACGGTTCCATGCACTGCCTTTGGCATCTCAGAGAGTCGCTACATTTGCTGACACAGTCAACGAACTTGTCTATGACGTCCTCATATCAAAAGTCAGGCAACGCCTTGGGGATGTATCCCGCCTTCCAATCTGGTCCTCAGTCGAAGAGCAAACTGCCTTTCCTCTACCAAACTTCAGCTCATACCCTCAGTCTTATGTTACAAGTGTTGGAGAGTATCTCCTTACTTTGCCTCAGCAGCTTGAGCCTCTAGCTGAAGGAATCTCAAGCAATGACGATTCAAACAACGAGGATGCCCAATTCTTTGCGACCGAGTGGATGTTCAAGGTAAGTCTAATTTTAGCTTTAGTCAACCTCTAATCGCAGTAGACGAAGACCTTACCCATTGAAATAAATAACAGGTAGCAGAAGGAGCAACGGCTCTGTACATGGAGCAACTAAGAGGAATCCAATACATTTCAGACCGAGGAGCACAACAACTCTCTGTAGATATAGAGTATTTGAGCAATGTGCTCTCGGCTTTGTCCATGCCAGTTCCACCTGTTCTTGCAACTTTTCAGACGTGTTTGGCTACACCAAGAGATGAGCTCAAAGATGTGATGAAATCAGAAGCTGGTAGTGAACTCGATTTCCCTACAGCTAATCTTGTCTGTAAGATGCGTCGAATCAGTTTCGATTAGTCTCGATCTTTCTTTTAATAACCATCGGATGTCCAAATCTAAACGTACTTTGGTGTCTACGAGACTATGCTAACAAATCGGTTCGGCCATCGTCATATTTGTATTACACATTGCGAAAGTTTTGATGCAATATAAAAATTCAAGTCTTACACTTTGTCATACTTGTTTTTCTTAATAATGCAACGAAACGATACAATTTAATAAAGAATTATGTAAGAAACGTTTTTCCTTCACATGCATTTAATAATTTTTGGATTTGTATGCCACTTAAATCGATTCATTTGTAATATGACATATTTAAATCAATATCGTCTAATGCATATAAAAATATAATTGATATCCAAATCGATTGAGGGTGTCTTTTCATCTTGGTATTTTGTAGTAATATTAATGCGGCTTCAATATTTCGATGTATGCAACCCATAAAAATTGCTTTCAGGTATAAAAATTAGCGTTTCCGTAGACAAATTTTAAATCGAAAAACTCACTACATGCACCACTCATTTCCGACAAAAATATAATAGTTGGAAATTTCATTAGTTTTTTATATTTAAAATTTTCATAAAATCTGCATTGTTTAACG